ACCTCAATCTATTCATAGATTAATGGATCAATGCTACACAGATCTGTAACGAGAGAACTTAGAAAAGAGACTACATACCTTGTTGCAAAAATCTTTATCTTCTCTATAGGTACAGTCCTAGCGAAAAGAAAAAATGTCTATGCGTAAAATAACTGAAAATGAAATTATACTCGCTAAAAACTGTTTTTACTCGAGGAATGCGTCAATTTTTCAATGTCAATAGACTAGATTTATCTACCTAAAAATGCCGAATTTGATACGAAGAAACAACGCCATAAGAAAATATGTTGTTTGGGAATATAAATCAGTATTATGACGACTTATTAAGGGCTACCTTCCAATCAATTTTCAGGTTTTCCTTTCATAATACAACAGTTTACTCTTTAGCAGAACATTCCACTAGCAGGCTATGCCATTCTTCAACTTTTTTGATAAGGGAGAGAATACAGCAAAGACTCTAATGATTCATTCGGTAGCATCGTATTCTCCGATAACTCTATTATCATCATTGATACACTATGTAACATCACACTGTTATTTTGGAGAAGCAGTTCTTCGAGACAGTGGCGGTTTTAAAGGGGGCATAGCCCCAGGCCCCGCGCTTATAGTAGCCAAGAAGGGTCCCGGACCCCGCAGTCTCTAAAATCGCCACTACTTAGAGAAGTAGTTATTTTTCCTTTTATTCTATATATAGTTCTTTTAAAATCCAATTTATGAAAAACTGACATTTCTTTCAATAGGACATTTTTGAGAAACTGTAAAATTGGTATTTCCATATCTTATTTGCAAGTTGAGTAAGCATATCAGCCCCCCCCCCCCAACAGGGGTTGAAAACGCTTTTCGAACTTATTCAAACAGTTCCGTAGTTTAGCAATCTCTTTGAAGTATATCGCTTCATGAATGAATAGCATGAAAAGCACAACCGAGTCAGTGAAATTAAATGGATGAATAAGGGACCGCATCTTGTATCTGAGCACCTTGTTGCACAATAGGCTTAGTCTGCGTGTTGCTGTAATCTAATGGGGCAACCCGTGTACACAATATCACATGTAAAAAGCTTGACAACTTTGGCAGGTCACGCTGTTTTAGCTTCAGTTACATTAATCAAGCATCAAATAGAACAAAGAACAAGTGTCATTTTGGAACTTTGGCTGAGCCAATTTTATTTAGTACTTTTTTGTATCACTCAATAATAGTCAGTAATCAGAATTTTCTTTCATTAGAAAGGAAGGCTTTTTAATCTCAACTATGCATCATAAAAAATGAATAATAAACTTTAGAATACAATGAAGACAGAGTTTCAAGAGTATGGACACAATAAATTTTCAAGACCCATGCACTTAGTTTGATACATCTCTCCTCAAATCTCTGGTAAGAACATACTAAATGCGAAAGCAAGACTCCTTTGGTCCAAGGTGGTGCGAATGTGAGGTATTGAGTTGACTACCCATCACTTTTGTGGAAATATAGTTCAACTTATATTTTCAAAAATAGATTAAAACAAATTGATAGGGGTATGTCATGACATACATACAATATGTAGACTATGGCAGCCTAAAAGAGCAACTTGTGTAATCATATTTGAAAGAATGGAGGCATTGAAACCCCACATCAAAGACCATGTAATGGAAAATATGTGTTGTCTAAACAAAACTAGGCTGTACTTTGGTTGCTTGTACTACTTTGGTCTTCACAATACCTAATCATTTTTCTTCATACCAACAACTTTCTGGGAAGCATTATCAGCTAAAATTTTGTGGCCAAAAGATATTGTCCTGGATCCCCTTTCACAGCCAACCTAGCTTAAAGAGGCATTTTAATCTTAATAGTCTGCCCCAGGGCTTCAAATTTATTACAAGGGGTCATTTAGAAAATGAAAGACAGCCTTTATTTCTGAAATTCAAAACTTGAATAAAAGGCCTTTGGTGAGATTAATAAAAACCAAAATGGAAAATATATCTTTCAAAGATTTTAACAAAGACAGTTGTAAAAGGAAACAAAGGTAAATTTGCTCTAACTATAAATTCCACTGACAGAGAAAAGATACTCCCCTTTTTAACATAAAATCGACTGCATTGGAATCAATACAAATATGTTTCTATTTCAAGCAAAATTTCGAAACATTCAACCACAAAGCCAAAGTATACTGATATCAATTAAATACAAGATAAGTGTCTAATAAATAAACTTTCTTTCATAACAAAAATCCTCCTGTGGTTTCAATTGTTCTTTCGCCGACATTTAGATTTTCAAGACAAATTCCTTGCCTCACTAACATAAATTCTTCAGTATAAACAGCTAGGTAAGACACATTTGGCAGACAGTTTATAACTAGAAAAATTTGTATATGAATGATAGAACTGTTAAAGAGAAGTGTAGGAATTTAACTGACATTGTTAGGGGGGGGTGGAAGAAGAGTTGGGGATCCTTTCTTTTCTTCTTTTCACATTGTTTTGAAATTACTAAGAAGAGTGTGGAGTTTGAAACAATCAGAATAAATATCATTTTCTTAAAAGGAAAAACCTACTGCTATTTAGATGTTCCCCTGAGATTTGTTTTGCATTTAAAACCTTTTTAACTGGGCTCAAGTCAACCCCCCCCCCCCAAATTTTACACCTAAACTTGGCATTCTTCGTTTCGGTGAAGACACTGTTCTTTCAAATCAAATGGCATTCATTAAAATGATGAAGTTAGCATAAGATTTGCTAATTACTTCAGTGATACAATTCTATGACACCAAGAAGTCAGTCAATACAGTATAATCTGTGATATCTAGAGAGTTTCTTACAACCAACAAACTGACCGACCAGACAGTGCGAGAAGTATCTCTTGCAGACGGCGGACGGGAAGTAGTAACTCTCAAATTGAGTACAAATCTTAGCACGGGCAAGGTTGCTTGACGGGAAAGTCTGATCAAGGCTTAACGCTCGTGTTTGCATCGCGTAGAAAACAATAAAACATGTTAACTGAATAAAAAGTTCTTCTCATAAACAAATGATGAAACATTTTAAGTGCTTAACCTATACAAAAACAAACGTAAGTAACCATGAGTTCCCAACTAGACAAACTTTCATAGGTTTTAATACAAATGTTTACTTCTTCTAGCCTCTATGAAATTTAATGATCCTTCGATTTGACGAAAATTTAGATCGCGAGATTATCAAAGCACTGTTGAGAATTTCAGTTCCCTGATTCGAAAATTCACTTCACAGTACTATATATTCAGGACGCTTGAATATCTGCAGATTAAAAGAAAGCACTTCAAGATTTGCAAGTAAGTTTAACGAGCAGTACCTAGAGCAAGGATCGTAGCTTGCTCGAAGGTAAATAGCAAGTTTTCCTACCTGTTTTGCCTACCTATTTTATACGATCGATGGGCTTCTTTCTCTGTTTCTTTCATCTAGACCACCACTGTTAATGCTAATCTTTAGAACCAAGGTTTTAACGCCTTCCCTTCCTTCCGTATTTGCTTGTAAGTACAGAAATAAAGAGGCCCTAACCAGTATCAAAGACAGACTGTTTTCAATTAACGTTTAGGCCTATGTATTTCGAAGAAGTAGCTTGAAAGCCTGCGGTGACGGTATCAAGTAGGCCACACTTCCTGATAATTTAATGTCCCATAAATAACCACAAGTCTATAATAATGATTTAATCGTTTCTTCAACTGTCTATCACCTTGACTCGAAGGAAAAAGTTTATCGTTGATAATAGGACAAAATTTAACGAAAAAGGCAGCCTTCGTACCTGCTCACCGTGTAAAAAGCTCAAAAATAGAAGCGTTTCAGCAAGCAGACCATGTCGTTTCTTTTCCTGTATCCTTACTTTCGAAATTCGAAAAACTTTTGACTTGAATTTGAGTAAACATCAAAATCTCCAGGACCACAATGTACACGCTGCTGAAATTCTGTCAACAAATTTCAAACTAACACAACGACGCAGTTTCGCAGACACGCGGGAAACCGCAGGACACGAATGTAAGGGACCTGCAAGGGGGAACTAGACTTTTCGGCAGAATAGTTCATATATTTCATTCGGCAGAATTCGTTCATATATTTCATTCGCAGATCTTGGGTTTTACACTGGCATCAAAAAGATAAACAATAACTACAGTAACGAAAAACACAGACTAAAATAAACTGTTCTTGTCTACAACCAAGAAAATCCTCGGATAGACAGCCCGCACGAATGATTACCCCTGAAAAAATAAGAACATATAGTAAGCCTCAGGCAGGGCGCTCATTAGAGGATTCGCAGTAGCTTCGTTCTGTTGCATTTAAATTTACTAGTATCTATGCTAAAATTTTAATATAAATTAATAAAGATTAAAACCAAGATGGTGATATTCTTTATAGTTATTTTAATACGGATTATGGTTTACTTTTATCTTCAAGTTGGTGTAGTGTTTTTACGGTTCCACTCTTTCATTGTGATCTGTCAGAATTAATAGAAAATAAAAGAAGAATATTCAATGATGATTTCCAGTTGCTGTTCTTATGAATTCATGTTTCTTAAAGTCCAGACTAACCAGGGGCGCCTACCCAGGAGGGGCAGAGGGGGCAAGCAGTGCCTTTAAATATTCACTCCTAACAAAAGATTAAAAAATCTTGTAGATAATTCATGACTAGTTTAGCTACTCTCGCTAAGTTAATTTTCATAAGAAATTCAAAAAATAAAAATCTCTTTTTTTGCTGTCGGTCATTGATAACGGAAAATTATTTTCCAAAAAATGATAATAAACTTAAAAAAGCAACAGTTTCTTTTTAGATTCTAGCTATTTCGCCCATCGTCAGAACATGAATGCTACGCTTAGTTCATGCTTAATATAAATATAATGAAATAATATAATAGAATTATATAATAAAAAATAATGCTGAATTAAAAAGTTAATTGATTGACATTGGATAATTGTGATTTTTATTTTCCATTCTACACTCTTAATGATTCTGCAACAATAGAGACCAAGCTGAAAATCAAAGTCTTACAGCCAGCCCATATTCAACTGCCATGATTTTCGTAAAACCAAACTTTTCTAATAATGACGAGGCCATCTAATACCCACTTGCATGGAGAATTTTGTCAACCTATGACTATGTTTAGAGTCTTTGATAGAAAAAATCCCAGCTGTATGGGTGGAACAGGTCGATGCCAATATTATATTTTGCACCCATCCCCAAACCCCTAACAAATAATCGATTATGGTAGTGGAAAAAATTGTACTCTTTGCCCTCAGCACCAACACTGCCCTTCTTCTTTAATCTTGTGCAGGCGCCCCTGAGACTAACTTCATTCGGGAAGCACCGCTCCGCGGCTTAAATTACGAGCAAAAAACAGAACAGAACTGCCTGCGTTTCTTCCAACTTCTAACTTTTCAGACAAAAACACATCAGATGAGTTGAAAAAATTGTCTTTCCTTTTCAACACCCTTTTTTTAGGGGCCCCGGAACATAAAATTATCCTCTTCAAAACAGTAATTATCTAAGAAACGTTATTTAAGAATAAGCCTTTAGACCACTAATAACAAAAGCGAAGAGTTATTGCCACAAATCATGTAATCCCCGTCGTATCACGTTATCGATTGTAGATTAAAATTTTTGGATTCACTGTTTTTTAACTAGTAGATGAAATAACTAGATGTTTCAGACGAATAGTAAATAATTCAGAGAACTAGCTCTGTATATAACTATCCATAGAGTTCTCAAGTGTGACGTCACGAAAAACTATTTTTAGAATTTTCGAATTTTGACCACATAACATGAAAGATTATCATAAAATAGTTCAATGTATGCAAAATAGCTAAATTTGTCAAAAATTGGGTGAGCTATGGCCAATAGAAGATTTTAAGTTTGCTAACGGATAATTGTTATTTTGGCTCAGTTAATAAAGTCGTGAAGTCAGACCAATTTACAGAGGTTTGATGGGGTCGATGCTTGTGCTCATCTGGTTATATCTCAGCCAATTCGTAGGAGGTATTTCCTAATGCTTTTTAAGGTTATGGGAAAAAATTTCAAAAATTCTAAAAATATATTTTTGTGACGTCATCACTGGACAACTCTTTTGAAGAGACAGATAAAGATTGAGGGAACAGAAAACGGACTTGAGTCACCAATAAAATGTCATTTGACTTTCGAAAACAACTGCAAGGCTCTGAGGGTGAAAAAAAAGAGACTCAATAATACCACTGTCTATTGCGTAACGAGTTCATTCGATAAATACCATTCACTTTATAGATACAAACCAACAGAACAATTGAGAATAAATAATAAATGGAATACAGTAAGCATTAAAATGAAATACAATTTTAACCTAGAAATAATTGCCAAAAAGATAATTTTTGGTGAATCGAGTATACGTTACATTGCAGTTACAAATTCACAAAACAAATTTATTCATTATCATACAACTTGGTACTAACAATATTGTCTCGCTTAGGCAGCTAAATTATTGAACAGGGTACGAGAAACCACCTGCTATATGTTGAACGAATGCAACGAAAGATTATCAAACATTTCTTAGAGTAGAAATTGAAGCTTTCGTATCGTTTATTAATAATTGTTTTCTATTGTGGATGAAAGGAAAACGAGTACATCAGAATGTAAAAAATTATACTAATTATCGAAAGGAAATAGCCTAAGACATTCTTCAGAATGATAAACTGAGGCGTAATTTCAATTCCTTTGTTTTCTTTTTATGTATAGTAGATAGAGCATTGGCAGTGATCAAATTTGTTAGCCTTTTACTTCGAACAACAACAAAAAACAGGATAAATTTGGATGGAGTAAGAGGTAAGGAGGAAGTTCAAAATGTCTCTTAATTGTTTCTTATTGAAAAAGACTGAATACAGACGAAAAATACAATTACCACTCACTTCACAATTGCCTATCTAAAATGATACATTATAATTAAAAGCAAAACATTTTCTATAAAATGAATAAAACTGATTTGAAATTCAGAGAATACTTAAAAGCTTTGAATCTCTTCGTCTTTCTTGGACTGTCTAAGTACACCACTATTAGCAAAACCACATCCAGTCATAAATCCGACGCACAATGAGCTTGGAACTATTAATTATATCAGAATTGAATATCTGAAAATCAATGCAGATATTTTTCCTACCCAAGTCGATATAGAGATATGGATTGGCTAAGGTACCAGGCACGGCTGAAGGTTAGTGATATTTCCTTACTAGAATCGATATACAACTGCAACTTGTTCTGGCTTCTTGCCAGAGGAAGCTAAGCCCTTCTGATTTCTAGAGTATCAAAACAAACTCAATTTTAAACAAAGCATTTGATCGATAATATCTATTATTCCATGCTCAGATCATTTAAACCAGGCGTTTCAATACGTTGGTGTTGCTGAGGCTCAATTTCGTCATGTATGTTGGTATGTATGTAGGGAAATGGGCGTTTATAAGGTAGTATGTAGAACTCACTGTTTGCCCTCTTAAATTATTTGAAGAAACTCTAATAGTATTTCTTGGGTGTTGACACAATGAGGCTGAGCAATATTACATTGCCAATAATACATACATAAATTTTCTAAAGCAATATTCGGACTTTAATACTAATTCATTTTACGTGTAACTTACACCATTAAGAGTCGTATGTATAATCAATAAGGCAAACATTTTAAACATTACTAACACAAGTGAAATAGATCTATTTCGCATATAAGAGAAATTGACGGATACTAACTGAGGCAATTAAAACAAAGTGACAACAATCACTAGTTAATTTACACTGACATATGGTCATATTCTCAATGTTGAATGTTTTCTAGCTGATCTGTTTACGAAAAATCAAATAACTTTAAGCTGACATGCTAGATTTTTAGGACTCATTTACGGACAATATTTGTGGAAATAGCAAAATGTAAATCAACAAATCCCTGCCGACCTGTCTTCCTTCACTTGTGTTATAACATTTGAAAACATCTCTGGCAAATCGAATTCAAACCGTAAAATGTCTGTTCAAAGTTTCAAAACTTCTATTCACGAAAAGTCGATTCTAATGGATTAAATACAATAACACAAGTTTCTGACAAATAAGATTCGTCAATAAAAGTCAATGCTAATCAAAATGATAGCCTAAAATTACAGGGGACACACTAATCTTTTTATAGGAAAATAACGGGCAAGAAAACTACATATACCTTAATTTCATAGATGGTAAATTCAATTGGGCCTTACATTACAAGGAATTAATTTCTAACATGCAATTTTTCCAATTATTCAAACACACAAAATGTATTTCAACTGCCAATTTCTCTGAATTTACATACCTACTGTTTTGTTAAAAGTATTATTCTATTAAAACCTGGCATATTCTTGTTCTTTTTTAAGAGAGTTAGAAAATTAGAAAAACTCTGTCTTAATTTTATAGACTTTGAAATCTACTCGATAGAGCCTCGTTAATTTGATAAGAAAACGTTTGTAAACCTTATCTTTGGTGTTATTTTTCTTCGTTTAAATTTCCTTAGAGTTAAAATAATTGCCTGATTTTTCCTTCAACAATATATTTGGATATTTTGATACTCTCAAAATAGGTAAGAAAATAAAATATATCAATTCTAGGCAGAAATAAAACGTATGTAAACATAGTGCATGTATTGGAGAACGCTGTTATGCGTATGGCAACGGATTGAGAACACATCTGACCTGTTAAAACAACCTTTTCAAGGAGATTTTGGCAGTTCAGCTATCAGAAACAGTGAAATATAGGCAGAGAAAGTTTGTATCAGACGTCTGGGTGCTAAGATGGAGGGTTGGAATTTTGTGGGTAAAACATTTGTCATCACACCAGTGATGTAAAAATCAAATTGGATTGGGAAGCACGTATTCTTAAGAATTCTGACTAATCTAAAATGAAAACATTCAATTAAATTTGACGGAGAACATAATTATTAATATGAATTCTTACCGCTGCACTCCAAACAGTCTACCGAGGTGTCTTCCAACTGCCTTTGACTGTGTCCTGTCTTCTTTGCTCTTGGTCATCTTCGTCTCACATTTCGCTTCATGAATCTTGACAGATGCACTTCCATAATAGTTATGACAAAAACGACAGGCGACGTAAGCAGATCCTGACAGGGGTGTTTTAGACCCAATCCTTGGTGTTCGTGCAGACCGCGGTGTCTCTTGAGAATCAAGCGAGTTGCTAGAGGAGGCAGGGCCTGAAGATGAGGTTGCCGATTTCGACAGTGGTGTTGCTGAAAATTTAGCAGATGACCTAACAGCAGAAGAAGGTGTGTGTTCATTTGATCTTGTCCCTTTCGAAACGGGTGTTGTTCTAACAGCGCGTCTGTCAGGGTAGCCATTGACGCTCGATGCATGATTTGTTTTAGGAGATTTCTTGTTAGACATTTGTGGCTTCTGCTTTTTTGACTTTTCTAATTCGTATTTTCTTTGACATTGGGGTAGATGTATGGGTAGAGACTTGCTTCCAAAAGGCTTGCTGCAATAGCTACAGAACAAAAAACGTGAATTGTCTGAATTATGTGCAGGTTTATGGGCATCTAAGTTGTCCATCGATATAGCCAATGAGTGATCAAGAACATTTCAGTCCGCCAATTATCTTCAGGCTTAGCAGATCTAAGTTCATTAACAGAGACACATCTACCATTTGGTCGAGAATTCTTCTTGGGCCTAGTCATATCAGGCGTAGTGGTACCCGGTCGAGAAAGACATTTCTTCTCATGTATATGTATGGAATGGATACTAAACATTTTGAAGCAATATTGGCATTCCATGAACTTTGGGTTTCCATCCGTTTTTCGTTGTTCTTTTTCAACAACATTAGATGACAAGTCCTGCAACGACACGGCCTTTTCACTCAAAATATGGGCAATGTTTTTGTCGGAATCATCAATATCATTATAAACATTAAATTCTCTAGGCGAAAATAAACTGCCATTTAAATTCTGCGAGGAAGACGAAGCCAAGTAAGCTGATCTAGGCCTTTCCTTCCGCTTTGTCTTTGTTGGGCGTCTCTGACTTGTCTCCTTAGACAAATTCTCTTTGCTATCTTTGTCGCGAATTCGTGCATTCCATGCTTGCTTTGGCCCTGTCGAAGAAATGTTAGCAACAGAATGAGCTTTCCTCATACTGCTTGCAACTCCATCCTCTTTTTGTTTCCCTTTTTCTGTTTCACGTACAGCAGATATACTACCAAGAGAGGTGCCTTTCTTAATACTGTCCGCATTTGTAACACCCGTATCCCACCTTCGCTTGCAGTGCCTCTCATGTACACTGATGAAGTGCGGAGCAAAATCCTCTCCGCAAATGTAGCAGCGAACGGATTTACGAGAATTGTCATTGGACCCTGAAACGAAAAAGAATTAACGATCAAGATAGGCAATCAGTTCTCTACAAAACAGAAGGATATAAGAACATCGATAAAAAAAAGATATACACTAACACAAGTTCAAACCATTTATTGAGGTCATGCTGAACAGGAGTTTTGTTACTGAAGGCAGAGCAGCGGCTATGATCAACTTTCTAACTTTATATGCAGTTACAGACAGGGTACCAACATATATAGATTGATAGAAATTTTCTCCAAAACAGAGCAATGCTCAAAAACAAAACATCATTCAATTTTAGAATATTTTCCCATCGAAGATTAGTCGATAAGGCAAGACCACGATTATCGAAGGATAATCGGTCTTTATACTGCGTGGGGAATGGAACAAAACTAAATAACAGATAACTAAAAAAACATCAACAATAACCCAAATCTGTGTAGATTAATTAAATTTCTTTCATCCATTTTATCATTCTTCTGACCGAATAGCTGAGAAGATGATGGTCCCGCCTCCTTTTGAAGAATTCACTGATTATGTTAGAGCGTCACTTATAACTGAAAAATCGCCAATAAGTCGCAACTTTTGAGACTTTTTAAATCAATTTTTTAAATCAGAAGATTTTTAACACTTATCTTTTGTTTATGACTCTGACAATAATGACTTTTTCTTATTTAGTTCATCTGTTCGTCAGTATTTCACCTAACAGGCGTATCAAGATGATTTGCAGTAGTCTCAAAAAACACCCTTCGATATGGTCTGAACGCGATTCGATATTTTAGTGCAAATTGATTACCCATTTCTGTTAAAATTCAATTGAAAACAAAACTAACCATCCTCATATATGTACTTGATAGTATCTTAGGGTACGTTGAAGTCACTCCTCGATCAATTTACCTATTAAGGGAGCTCTTCCTTTATGTAATTCTCTGCACACAATTTACTTTTGTACATCTTTGCTCATCTTTGTATCTTTATATTAAAGCAATCTTCTGAATTTTTGTGTTATAGCGTGTCTACAGTGTTTGTTTGGTTCAAAGCCATTTTAAATTTTCTTAAATAAAACAATTTTCTTAAATTTGATTTTAATCAAAAATAGACAAGAAAATTTAATGGATTAAAAGATAAATAAGAATAACTGCTTGAAGGTTTGGTACAAAGGGTTCCATGCTCCATAGACAGAACTGCACACACTATGTAATTTATTATAATATTTTTTGCTTTTGTTACCTGGGTGACAAGTTGAATGTTAGCGGAGGATGTGAGGTTGCAGTAACAGTAAGAGCAAGACGCAGTTGGGAAAGATTCAGAGGGTGCAGTGAATTAGTTCTTGGAAGAAGGTTTTGTCTGAAGATGAAAGGAAGGATCTATAAGACCGATGTAAGATGAGCAATTCTATATGGCAGTGAAGCATGGTGCTTAAAGGTAAACGAGATGGCAATTTTGAGAAGGGCCGAAAGATACATGCCGAGGACGATAGAAAAAAATACGGACGAACTGATGGTTATGTTGGGCTTGAAAAAATAGGTCGATAAGTAGCGAAAGCAAATGGAGTGCGATGGTATGGACTTCTCCTGAGGAGACAACAAGATGGTGTTCTAAGAAAGGCGCTAACTTTTGAAGTTGATGGCCTGAGAAAGACAGGAAGAACCAGGAAGACTTTGAAGAAGCAAGTGGAAGAAGAAATTAACAAATATGATTTACAGAATGAAGATGCTTAAGAGTGAGAGAAATGACGCGAAGGTGAGAAAAGAATTGCTTCAGGGCATAAGTAAATATGGCCACCCGCTTTTAAATGAACAAAACCGGATCAAAACTGGGTTGATGATGATTGATGATAAATATATACGACATACATGATTAGTATTTCAAATTTCATGGCTATTAAAGGTTGATAAAGTTTTAGGAAGCAAATATAATCCCTATGAATGTAAATGGTTAGTTTCTTGCAGGGCATGAAAACCCACCCGACCATGCGACCAGGTGGTCGTAGGAAATTTATTCCTGCATAAAGTTCTGCAGGAAATATTGTACAAAATACCCTTTTGCAAGAAGTACCTGTTTCTTACATGTTCATCAAAAGGAGAAAACATGAAGACAAAAGTAATATATCTCATGTAGGTCCCTTATACAGGTTAAGTTGATTTTCCTACCTGAGAACCCTTGAGAATGTTTTTGAAAATATAGTCTTTTATCTGGCTTAAGAATATTCTCACCAGTTAGGAAATTAATATCATAGCTAAGCCCCTACTCCAGTTCAATTTAGACGTTAATGGATAAAGAATAATTTTCAGTCACCAAAACAGAAATTGATTTTGTAGTGGTAGTAAAATTGCTTAAACCTCTATAATGTAGCTTCTCCTTTTACCTATAAAAAACTGGTGACACATCATTACGGTTGTTGGAACCTTACCCTTTTTCCTTCATCTTCCCATTCTTGCAGGAAATTTATGCATGATTTTCCCCCGGTCGCAGGGAGAAAAATAAACTTTTATGCCCTGGTTTCTTGTACCATATACTTAATGATATAAAAAGCCTCCTGATTAGGAAACTTTAGAATACAAAGAATTAAAAACAATCTCAGTTGAATACAACGACAAATGAAAATTTACACTTTCTGCAGTTAAATTTGACTGGCACTTAGTTATAATTAACTGACATGAATGACTGGTACACTCTTTTGTAATCATGTGATTACAAAATATATCATATTTCCGTGACACTCAAGCTGTTATTCTGAGCAAATTGAGCACATTACAATTGAAGACCAAGTGATGATCGTAGCATCATAAATTATAGCCAGGTACCAAAACGACGTGTTACTTATAATGGCATAATTCAATATGTTTGCAAGACATTTAGTTTGGACAACAGCAAGATATGGATGCAAACTTTTGACGCACGCGCATTGGGGCGGGGAAGTGCTACATGAGAGTTGTATTACGGTTACGATTTCAATTTGTGATGTTACCTTTGCTTTTGGTAGTGAAGATGGTAGCATTCATAAATCATCGAAAAGTGCCCAGGCAATGGGGTGGGTCATACAAACGCTATTTACCTGATGATGTTGCTGAAATTGTAGATTCAATTTCAAAATCCAACAAACTATCGACTTCTTTTGTTATATCGGTAATGCCTTCTTGCAGCTGATTCAGGCACTGGCGCTCGTGCTCTGCAAGCAATTTTGCATCGAAACTTCCACTACATATAAAACATTTCGACTGCAAAGTAGACTCCATGTTACATTCAGCTACGGCGTCCTAAAAAACACAATACCATACTCGTTTAAGACATAACTTAGAAAGAAAACGAAAAGATCAAATGCATAGAATATGTATAACGTATGAAATACTTACTGATCCTCTATTCAACTTACTGTTAAGAGGCTTGCTTAATTGTTTGTGATTGCAAAGAAAGGATTTGCAATGAATGACACGAGACTGATCCTACTGCAAATCGCAAAACAGTCATTGACATCAACTTAAAAATGACAACTCAAGTTACGAGCTAATATGTCTTAAGAAAGCATCTGCAGTGATGGACGATTACAAGGCCTTATGTCCTGCTATTCAATGCGATTTACAAGTAAACAATGATCAAATCTGTTTCAAAAGAGGGTCACCTTCGAATCGACATTCAAACGTCGCTATGTTATAAGGTTCCTACGTCATATTTCAAGCTAGAGAGATAATCAGTTTTGGGTGGCGTGGGGAAAAATCACCACACGATGTGAACGAATTAGAAAAAGAAAATAGATAGGGAATAAAGCCAGATTTATAGTAGTGCATTTAAAGCTCAAACATGGAGCTCAAGAAGAGTATAGGCCAGACAAAAGGACAGTCTGATCTCAAATTTTAAATAGCCTGCGACATTTAGGCCAATATGATAAAGTAGATGTAGACTATCAAGGAAAAAAGGTTGAGGAAAATGAGCAAAGAGCAGCAAATAATTAGAAATGAATTAAATCTTTTGCGCAGTCAGCCAACAAGGATTTGGCTAAAAGTCACAATAGGTTTTGAGCGCATCAGTCTTATTTCCTCAAAGCATATTCATAAGCCTAAAAAACTCACAAAAACATAGGGTTGTCCCCACCATACTTATACTTTACACAGTGACGTAGCGTGAGCGCAGAACTTAGGCATGCGGTAACATAAAATATACGGCCATGTTTAAGGAATGTATCGTAATTTCAGCTTCTTAAAAATACAAGTGGTAATTAATGATAATCGTGATAATAAATTTTGATTTTGAAAGTAACAAATTATTTGTACTAGAGTAATTCTAATCAATCAAGGTGTCTATTCTTTGCATCAGAGGCTTCGACACAGGTTGGAAAATGAAGGGGGGCTAAGGGAAAAATTATCACCCATTCGAAAAGTTTTTGAAAAAAGCCCAATTGTTTTGCAAAAATTTTCAGAGTAACTCCTAGTGCTAAAATCGTTTCGCAAAAGATCTTATTCTTATTTATATTCCTCAAGAAAAGGCATCACCGAATGCCCACGTAATGTAAGAATTTTTATGCTATAATGCAGCTGGGGGTTCCCGCAAAGAGGAGCTCTCCACATTGCGAAATTGTTGATACACTGCAGAGCCTCTTCTAACAGGAGCAAAAGTTACTGCTCATTTTCTACTCTCGTAGTTAACAAAGATGACAATAATGAGCTGTGAGAGTTGTTAGAACAACCACGTAGCTGTAGGTCTCGGCAAGGGGGGGGGGCAAACTCGAGCAAGAACCATACCTGAGGGGGGCAGGCTTCAAAACAAGAAAACAGATATATAACAGACAGATATATTTGGACAAAATCAAGGTCATGGAATTATAAATATGCCAAATTTTCAAAATATAATTTGGAAAAACTGTAGCCAGAGGGGGCAAGCTGTTGTCAAAATTTTCACTTGGGGGGAGCACAGCCCCCTGTGCCCCCTGCAGCTACGTGGCTGTGTTAGAATTGAAGATGCTTACATGCAGGAGCGTGGCGTGCGGGGGGTGTGGGGGGTGTACACCCCCAACTTTCAGAGAACTCGTCGGTAGAATTAAATTGTTAACAAAATATTAATGTAACAAAAGAATTTCTGTCGGTAAAATATGGTTTTGCATCTCTTACACCCCCCCAGCGAGAATGGTCACGCGACGCCACTGCTTACATGTGGTGTAATGGTTCCAGAAAGTTGTTCCTTGCGCTCAGGTCTACCGCATGCCCTGGTCCGTAAAATCTGACTATACTGGCAAGCCTTTTGATTGAATTACGGAATACGGATCATGACTAAAATATTTGACCCCACTTTGACGAAACTTTTTCGCTTTTTAACAGTCACAAAGTAAAGAAAGGAAAATAATTGGGTTTGAGATGATGTATCACGCAAAGAATATTCGAAAAAAGCAGCTTATAGGCAGAAAAATATTCTGTATTATCAAATATTTGGGAATGCTTGCGCTAAGGCTGACCGCAAGCTCCAGTCCGGAAAATTCTCACTTCTCTCAGAAGCTTCTCTCGAGCTGCACTGGAGCATCGCATGTTTCGCTTATTTTAGACAGGCAAAAAGAGTTATGTGGAGGGACTTCAGTTTTTTCGAATTTCACAATTTTTAGCAATCTGTTTACATGGAAAAATAGCCAATTGGCATGTTGGCGCTGGAGTTCTCTGCATTCTGCCCATGACCAGAAAGAGAAGCCGTTTATTGCGGAAAATGTTGTGCATTGACTTTAACACTACAACGAAATTATTACCGGTAGAAGTATTGCAAAAATTTTGGAATTTGTCTAGAATTTTTTACGCTTGCGCCGAAAATAGTGCACAGCGTTTATCGACAGTCTGCCTAAGTATGTAATAGCGATGAAATGTGTGAATCGAATTTTTGTGAATCGAATGTGAATCGAAGTAGACTTTTAACAGTCTACAATGAGTCGCTTTCTTGCTAAATATGAAGTTTCATTCATCCAGTGTGTCATCTTTCTCAGAATGATGGCTTCTCCAAACCATTAGCTACCGTAATATTTAAACTAGTAATGACCCAAATAGTTCAAAAACTAAATTGACGATGAATGAGTGCTCAACGCATGAACATCAGATACCTCGTTCTAATCTTAACTTTTGCAGTTGAAAAAATTGTGACAGTGGCTGTGAAAAAACATTAGTGAAAAAGTATTATCAAATAGGATTTTGGAGGCCTGGCCTAAAATGTTTAATGAATACAACAATCCTATGAAGTAAACTAACTATATGGGTAAAGAATACCGTGATTCAGTTATGTAATAAAACCACCGAAAACGATGTTACCAGCCCTCTTACATACGTTGAATGTTTGAATGTAATACGTATTAACAACGAACTTACCATGAACTGTTTTGCTACTCAGCATGCCTCAATGCTCTTATCATAATCAAGGAACGTAGCTCACGCCTCTTTGCCTTGTAAAATGTGGATTTGAAACAGATCGCAGATTTAGAATAAAGTATTGTCTAACCTTAGATGCCCTAGGCGATTACCCGAGATTAAATGTACAGGAATAACCATAACCAAGTAAGAGCTACATTAAATGAGAATTCCAAAATGAATGGTAAAACATTGACCACAATTGGAACTCAACTAACTGGCAGACCTACAGTTAGATTGACAATGCACATAAACTACCTTCGGATAACTAAGAAAAGATCAAGTTTAAAACATGCCTACTGTTTTAATCATAAAGACATGTTGGGATATAGAGAGCTTTGCCCCTTATGGCCATATTTGAATAAAAGGAGGACCCGCTGATAAACTGGAAAGCATTTATATATTCGTACAGATTAAAGTAGCTAGATATTTTAAAAAAGATACTATGACTGTAAGTCTTGAAAAATAATTGATTGAGTCTTGAAAATTCCAAGGGGCTTTTTTGTGATACTCTTTCCCAGGTTAAACCTTCCTCCGTTGAAAAGGTGAAATTAGAGAGTCTGGGAGGCACCGCTCTTAAGATTCTAATAAAAATCAGTATAGGACACTGAATGGATGTTAGATTTAATTGTGCTGCGATGAAAGATATTTCATTACCAATTGAACAGTCTCGTATTAGCCCCCCTCCCCGTACCCCCTCCACAGCCAAGTGATTGGCCCTACCATTGAGGCAGAGAATGGACAGCGGATAGTTGCAGTTATTGCATTTTATCTTACGGAGTGTGATTTTTGACTTTGTCTAAAGGCAAGGAGAGACTTACGCAGCAAAAGAAGGAGGATTTCCACATAACATTAAAATTCTGCCAATGTTACAAAACCAACCATTGATGTAGCAAAAAGTGTTATTTATACAAGCCTAACAGTATGAAAAAAATTGACTTGCATCTGCATTATTGAACATAAATTTTACAAGAGGGGGGGGGGGTGCAGTTGCATCATGATAAATAAGCCACTTTCCTTCAATTCACATTCAATAGATGGGGGTGCATAAGAACATGGGGCTGCTCAGACCCTCAATGGCTTATTTTTTCTAAAAAGGTCTCATTTAAAAATAATTTATAATATTAAGAGGAGGGGTGTGAAGTTTTACTTTTAGGTGTCCCATGCAAATAGCACTGTAAAGAAAAATAAAAAAACATAGTAATTACTTCCTATAAATTGTTACTGTAAAGCATTTCACATAATATTTCAAAATGAAGAGGACAACAGTGACAATGCTTTTGAGAGGAGAGTAAGAAAAGAAGTGGCTGACAATTATGGTAAGTGTCCATCTTAATATCACTTGTTTTGACACTGCATCACACAAAGAAAAACAATTGTTGGGGTAACCTGGATTGAGATATCAGAGAAAGGGGAGTATCTGGTTTTTGATGATACCTGACAAGTAGAATGGGGGTCAGAAAAATTCAGAAAGCTAGCACCTGAATAAGTGGATAAGTGTCTTTAAAGAAAGCAAGAGGTTTATGTCACATTAAAAACTATGGTCTAGCAAAAGATAGAATCAAGGACTTTGGTAGCATGCCTTGGAAAAAAAAAGGCCAACTTTTAACTTAAGACTTTATACAGTAGGTAGAAAAGCAAGCAGAGAACCAAGGGGTTGAGGTATACTCACCCTGAAAATTTTTTGTTATCAACCCTCGAGATTGGTTAAAACAACATTAAAGCTCATTTTGGCAGTAAGCTTCCCACATTTTAAAAAACTTTTCTCTGCTTCGACCCTTTGTTAAAAAAATAATTTTTGCCTCTGGTCAGCGGTAAAAAGTGCATATGCCACCTTTGCCCCCCGTGTTCCAGGATTGCTTGCATATGTGCTTACAAAGACTCCCAAACAAGCTAGCCAAAAGGGTTATTGTCAAGGTTGTCAAAAAGGATGTGATGCTTGACAGAGTTTTACTTAATAATGACATGAAGGTCAGTTAGTAAACAGGGAAAGGTTTGGGGGAATGCTAATCCAAAGTTAGAAGAGGGTAAATCACTATTTCCAGATTAATATTTAGTCAAAAGGGCCTTAGTTCCTCATACCTGCATTAGTCAGAGTGAGTCAGGGTATGATGCATAGTCAGGTCTTCTAAGCCTATCAGCATACATTTATATTTGGGTTTAGCATCCTTTTGCTATATAAGGGTATTTTCACTAGGGTATATCTAAGGGTATCTCCTGCATTGCCTCTATTTATATATTGAGTTACTTGGCTCAAAGGAGCAAACTGGAGTTTGATTCTGGCCTAGAATGGCTAGATTCAATTGGGCAGCACCCTTGAGGAAAGAATTTTCTTCCTGTCACCTTTGCCATATGATTGTATACAATATATAAACAAAGATATAACATATAGTATATAAGGCACATAAGTTAGATAGGGCAACTCTGCTTGATAATTTGGGTAGTAAAACCAAAGACAAGGGGAGGGGGGAAAGGGTTCCATTTGTACTAACATACCATCTCGCACTCAATGGATTGGGGAAAGCAGCAGTGAAACTTCCATCTATGCTCAGCTACTTGGAGGAGCATAGGAAGGTGTTTCCTGGGCCACCTATAACTGCATTTAGGAGATGTAAGAATGTTAAGGATATTTGTTTCAGGATTAGGCTCAGTAATCTAGGACATGGGGGCACACATACAAAGGGATGTTATCGTTGTAGCAAAGCTCTTTGTCAAGTGTGCAATGTCTAAGTAACAGTGACAGTTTTAAGTCTAAGGTTACTGCTAAGAAATATAAGATAAATTTCTCATTTAACTGTGATTACTCAAAAAATTGGTTTCTTACTTTGGTTTGATCTGGTCCAATGTTGTGAACTTGATCAAGTGCAATGTCTGTGGTGTCCAGTATGTAGGCAGCACATGCACGCCTTTAAGGCTTAGGTTTAATAATTACAAGGCATGTAGTCGTAAGTTTAATTTAGGGTCTTCAGTGCCCCAGATGGAATTTTTCAGACATTCTTCTGAGGAAGGACATCGGGGGTTCCTAAATGACATAAGTGTTAAGTTCATAGGTAGGTTAACAGGTAATAATAGGAGGAGGGAAAGTTTTTGGCAATATCGCTTAAATACTTTATATCCAATGGGTCTTAATACTAGGCAGGTGGATACGTAGGACATTTCTATATTCTTCTACAGTTTTCAATTTTTTTTCTGTATTTTTTTATTTTTTAATGTCGGCTCTTTTGTTCAAAGCTTATCTTCTCATTTTTGTGTTTATAATTTTATGGCTATCATTTATCTCTCGTGAGGGCGGACAGCTATATCTTTAAAAAAGAGCGTTTGCTGTGCTTAAATGGGTGTGGACTCTAAATTTTCCCTCGCCAAATCTTAACACCCCGGTTACGCTACTGTCTGTCGGCAAATTGGGCATGAATCGCTCCCCTCCCCCTCCCCCCACCTGAGGCACGATACCCAGCGACGGCCTTTCTTTTTCTACCGTTTCTTACTAATTTTTGCTACTACAATAGTTATTAACTGATAGTGTATGTCGACTGCCAATCTCAAGCCGACATGAACTCAAAATTATTTGCGATAAAAGCTATAAACATCCCATAATATCACGGATTTATACACAGATTTCAAACCGCGAAAAAATCAATGAAACTCATTGAATATGTTGGATGGACCACAAGGCTGTGATAATAGGTTTATTTTTGTTAATCATTCGTAGCTATCTCCGTCATAAAAATGTCAAAACGTCATTAAAATAAATGACTTTTCGCCGTGTTTGTCTTCACAGAAGGATAACGCAGGTACATGTCTGACTTTTTAAACATAAAAATAGGCATAAATGTACTCACCTTCTAGGGCATGTTCGCTGCCTGCTATACACCTTGCCTTTTCAGCCATCAAATCTTTCTCAGAAAATAATGGGGTGACAAGATTCCATCTCATTAAAGTGATGATAATGGTCGTTATGCTTGTCACTAGAGCGTGATATCTATCCTTTCTTCGACATCCATGGCGACTACAAAATCTAATGGCCTAATTCTTTTTCTTGTTTTAAAAATTTATTGGCTGCAAAGTACAAAAGACGGACCATGGAAACCTAATGTCTTGGACCGGATGACATGTAGCGCAGGATCAGTGTTTCCGTGTTTGTTTCTAGTCTAATTTTGATGGGCAAAATTAAGTCATAAACGTGCCGAAAGTCACTTGAAAATACCTTTCTGAAATCTTGGACAATTATTCTTGAACGGGCTTGCTTTAGGCGAGTCACTCTTTTGCTGTTGTTATCAATTAGGTGGAAGACTTAAAATTCATGTACCCATAAAGTCAAATACAAACATGATTCATGAATACTTTATAAAATCATCAAAATCATCAGTTGTCCTTCTCAAATTCATTTCTTAAAGCAAAGTAATGAACGATTTCTTCGTAAAAGGTTTTAAAGTCACATCTAAACTCTTTTCTCTCAATTCTTACCTCAACATTATTTTCTTATTATCTTTAAAAAATCTCTGTTCTAAAGGAGGGCTAAGCTTCCAACATGCTTCCAACAAGACATTCCGCGCTCTGCGATTTCAATATAAAATTTCAATAAACCAGTGATGTTTGTTTGCCTAAGAATACTGGCTTACCCAGACTTGCTTCATTCACTTAGATAACATCATGCTTTTGTTTCATCTCTACTGTGTTAAATTTCATTAACCGAAATGCCTTTGACTTGCAGAGGATGTGGTTGAAATTTCACAAGGCCTTCTGTGACAAGGCTTTGAAGAAGCACCTGCGTATTCTGCAATTTACTAATTGATGATAAACGAAAAAACTACATAGCTGTTTCTTGTTTTAGATATAATAGCAAGGGCGCCGGAGCCAATGAGGCAATGGGGGCAGCACGGGGGTAGCGCGGGTCAGCACGGAGGCAGCACGGAGGCAGCAAAGTGCCCCTTTCAAGAAATTGATTTCCGAGCAACATTAATTCATATGAAAATTTCGAATGCTAATAAAATCTAGGTTTCAAGCATCTCTTGATACCCACATGCAAGACAAAAGGCGATATTTTCCATTTTGATGAGATTTGCTTGAAACTATCTGAAAATCGATTTGCAAAGCAATTTGACCAACAAAAACATTTTCGTTGATAAGTTCTCTTTAACATTCATGATCATGCTGAACAAATTTTAGATTGCTGCCGACGTTGGCTCGCATATGCTCGATATATCAGTCAAGGCAACAATAATGTCGTAAATTCAAGCAAAGGCGTAGGAACCGGGTGGTACAGTGGGCATGTAGCCCCCTTTTTCAAAATTCAGTTTACCTGCCCCTTTGCAGCTCACCGAGTTGCTCTTCTTGCTAACTGCATACATAACCAAAAATGCCCTTGGATTGCTAAGGTGCTATGCAAAATGATCAAAGGGGTGACTTTTTGGTGGTGACTTCTAAAAACATCAATAAACAAGCTCACAACAAGGGTTGCCGAAGATGGTGGCGACTGAAAATCTGCCGCAATACAAGGCCTCCGAAACCTCTCGGTGGCACTATACACAACTGATATCTAAGCCATTGATATCTATATCATTGTAGCCAGGCTTTATGTAACAGCTTTTTTAACAATAATAGAATGATATAATTCCTTCTGCTCTCAAGATCTTTGTCAAATAGATTGAGCGAAATAAGGAACTCAGTTCCAAAGGAAATAAGTACAATAAGCAACTTTTCAAAAATTAAAGTAAAAATCTCTGAGTTTTCATCGTCTAGTGCTTGTGATCCTTGCAAGAAATACGTATGCAATATCAGTTATATTTGATTTGAATTATTTTAATTGGCTATAGTGTTGGCAATTTAAATTAGTTGGCTTTATTTAGCTTGAATATAGCTTATATTTATTGTACCGACTTTACATAAAGAACGAAAAAACAGTAAGTTCAGGGGAGTTATATCCAAAAGTTATGTCAAGCCATGTAGATGGTCATCAGAACAAAATTTTGTTCTGATTGTAAAGTAGGATTTGGTCCAGCCCCCCCCCCTCCCTTGATGGTTGATGTTGGGATGAAAGAAATTTCGAGAATGAAGTTTGACTACAGTCTTGATTCAAATGTATTTTTTATAGCTGTGCCTTCATTTCCGAGAGTCTTTAGAGCGTAGCAATGCAAAATTTTCCTAAGGGCTATGCCCCCAGAACATCGACCCTCCTTCTCTTGACAGGGCTTTCACCTACAACCAGGCTTTGTCATTGACCAAACGACTATTCCCGATCTTTTTCATCAGCAAACTTTGACACCCCCAGAGGCCCTTTCTGCCAGTCCTGCCCCCGCCGCATTATGAAGCTTCCGACGCCTCTGTATAATAGATTTCCATATATTTTCTATTCGCTCACCACGCCAAGAGAAATACTATGTAAGAAAATGTTCCACTTCAAGATTTGGCCTGGACTTGCTACAAGTCTCTCTCTATCCATTTAGTAATCTGAGAAATATAGAAAAGGAAAAAATGAAAAAATGGAAGGGAAGCAAGTTCAGATTTGGCCTAGAAATTGAAGGCTTTGCCTAAGCTTTGAAATTTCGAGATAGAGACAAATGTACTCAAAACACAACAAGATTGAAAAGAGTTATTGCAAAAGACGGGGCTTTGAGCTTTTTTACTTCGCTATTGTTCTGCCAAGTTCCCTAGCGCTCTGCTCCTCTTTCCAAACTGCTTTTCTGCGTATAAGAACCAGTTGAAATCTTGAAGAAACATTTTGGTCAATCCCAACCAAAAGTTACTATTGCTTAGTCTCAAGTCATTAGTCAGACGATAAAGGGCCACGTTAGTTGCTAGTCAAGATTTTTGCTTCAGTTAGTCGAAAAATTTTTAGTTAAAACTCCTGGTTGTAATGTTTCCTACATTAAAAGCAAGATGTCTCTAAGCTCTTAATTGAATTGCAATATAAAACAGCCTGCAACAGGACATTTAGAAATTGTTATCCTCTATCATAAGTCGAGCAGATTTCAAAGGAGAAAAGAGACAACATAGGGAAAATGCACATATTACGTAAACAAAATTAGAAAATTTTGGAATAACTCTTCCCCTTATTTATCAGTTAATAAGCTTTTAACATTGAGTTATAACAATGACCGTAAACGTTTGTGATGATCCCCTTCCCCATCTTTGACTACGTAATATATTAACCTTCCCATAACCAACACCATCAAGGTCTGGCGTGGATCAGGCTATTGCCTATTTTAATGAAGCATATCTTGCAATAGAAATTTTTCAGAAATATTTCAATTTTATGGTATTTAAGAAAATTGCTCAATTACTGTATTTTCTCGAATATATACTACGGCCCCTCATTAACCCCCCTCCCCCCCCCATCGATATAACTCGCATTAGCGCTAATCATTAGTCATAGTAGCCCGAGTATGATTAGTTAGTTGGCAAGACAGTCTGTCAAGCAGCTAGTCAAAACCCCTTCTAAACCCGCACATTTAAACGCCGAAAGGGTTGGGACATGTTAAAACAGAACAATTGAGTAGACGCTGGACTTACTCCATGAGCCTCTGTTTCGCTACTGCCTCACTTGACGGACGCTACAACAGAAGTAGACGCCGTCAAGTGAGGCAGTAGCGAAGCAGAGGCTCATGGAGTAAGTCTAAGTAGACGCCCTGCTAATTTGCCAAGGCAATATTTTCCGTGTGGGTTGGTAAGCTCGAAAACAAAATATCCAACATGTTAAATACTTTTTGGTATCGCTCCATTTTGATTGACATCTGCAGTGGGGCGAGCAATTTTTCTTACGATTGTAGGTGTGATGCGCATGTGCTTATTCAATCTTAATCAATTTTAACTGCAAATTTGGGGCCCTGAAAGTAATACAAAGGCAAAAGACAAGTTAAAAAACACAGAAAGGGAATGAAAGAAGTTTGATTCATCTAAAAGTATAATGGCACTGGAAATGAATGGAATCGGCTTCCTAACTCTCAACTTTTTGCAGTGATAAAATATTCAAAATTGAAAATCTTCCCAGGTGTCTTTGAGTAGAAGTCTCCTACATGTTTTGACCTTTTAAAATGCAGGTTCCTTATAAAGTGGCTGCTTTAAAAAAGTTCTTACGTGACTAAAAGTTAGTCTTGGGTATGCTCTATTTGTAAAATTGGCTTTACCTGTTTGTAAGGAGTGTTTTCGTGCAGTAAAAAAACGGGGTTTAAAATGCTTCATTCGCCACTTTGAACTTTGAACAATCAAACGGATTGGTCCGAGAGTAAACACGGGGTTGTGATGCTAGCGCTTTCAAAAAGTTCAATTTAACCCATACACAAGAAGGCGGATTAGAAAACAGACAGTGAAATTCGCGTTATCAAGAATATCCGGATACGTGCTGACCAGGCCTAAATTTAAGCGCAGGTGGACAGGAAATTTGTGGCGCAACAAAGGCTGCTATCGGGTGAACGTGATCTGATCAAAATCCTCAAATTGAAAAGACGTGAATTACTTAATATCAGGATATCCCCAAACAATTCTTAACATTACAAACAACTGTACCTCTAGGGCTGTTGAACCATATTTTCTCGCCTACCATTTGAACAAATTAAGCGTATATTTTTGTAGGTGCGCGGAGCATGCTCTAAAGCCAACTTCGAAATTACATAGACAGATCAGTGCCTCCTCGGCATTTTGTTTTTCCCAACATTTTCAAAAAGGGAAGTGCCCACTGCTGGATAACAAATCTTTGTCTAAAAGATTTGGACAAAGTTGTTCTCTTCAATATCGTAAGAATTTCATTATCTATTGTACGGATATGGTACATCAAATCCAATATCCTTAGCAAGAAAGGCAAAAATTTGATGGTTTTGGAATAACAACAGCTAAAACGCATCATTCTAGTTTCTGGGAATGACGCATGCTGCCAATCGAGAAGTATTAAAAAAGGTCACCATCACGTTTCATAAAGTAGATGGAATATAACATTTACATTTTCTTCTGTAGACGAAAGAAAGAAAAACAACAAACGTTCCACTTAGGTAGACATGTTTCTTCAGCATTTCCAAAGGCAAGGTTCTATTGTATACAAAACTATATGAAATATAAAAATACTGTACAAAACTTTATAACAAACTACTAATACATGGAGCGGTAGAATCACAATTTACAGATATTAACTTTAAAAAAAAAGTTTCAACGTTAATCCACACTTATCGCTCATTTGCGATCAAATTTAAGATTTAACGGAACTTTCAGGAATACAACTAAAATACATTTTCTTTAGCTGACCCTAGGTAAGAGAATAATGTAACGAAAAGATACACCAAAATATGGTCGAGGAATGACAGCACTCAAAAGTCACACAAATACAAAATAAAAATGCTCCTAAATTTCAGAGCATTGCTTTGTAAATTTCTTCAGGAAAAATTCAAGACGACACAACTTTATAAAAATGGAATCACAAGTTACTGATAAAAATTTCTAACCATTATAAAAAGTCTACATCTTGAATCACAAAAACCAACGTTACAAAAATACCGAGAAAAAAATTACATTGCAGGTAATATTTCAGATAAAAATGAGTCTACTTCTTCAACTGAAACAAGTGGCCTAATATTCCAAGCACAGTCACAATATTGAGGTATGATGATAATCTTTAAGCAAATCTGAACATCATCTCATGCGATGTAACTATGCTGATTATCCTAGATGACATGAATCTTATAGATTTTCAAGGAAAAATAATCATAACGAAGGGAAATCTAGCTCAAAGGTCGTCGTTTACTCCAAAAGTAAAAACTAGTCAATATTAATCTGAAATTATAGATAAAAACACGAGAATGAATATCAACGCTAAACACATCACAAACCTCACAAAAACTCGATAATGAGATCATACATATCATTCTACAGAAGACCGGTACCATTTTGTCTTTGGAAATTATTAGGGGCGATATAAAGAACAGAGGTTTCATTCAAATATTTTGGCATTACGCCAAACCCAGTAAAACTAATGAAATGCTGAGATATTAGATGAATTTGCCACCTCGGTACTAATCCAGCAACGATGTTTTGCCAAAGGCAATCAATAAACGAGATTGTTACTATTCTTAGAGCAAGCATATCTGAACCTAGATGGTAAGATCTACCAAAATGAACGTCGCTTCAAGCGAACATACAGTTTCCATGAAATGCGAACACACCACGACGACTCCCATTCTATATCGATTTTCTATAATAAAATTCCCAGGTATTCTCACTAAAAAACGAGCATTGATTTTGAGAAAAGGTGGGCTACTTTGTAATCCAGGTAAATCCAGACTAATTGAAGATTCCCCTTTTTCTCGAAGCTTTTGTCCTAGTATAGCCAAAAATTTGAATGGGCAAAAGTACCTCAGTTCTACCGAAATACCTTACAATGAAATGACTGTGTAAGATGTTGTTATTTTATTAACGAATACAATAGCCATTTGTCGTTGTTTACCAAATTGGTTGGCCAACATAAATTCATTTAAATTGACGTAAAGACAATAGTCTTTGTGAGTAGATAGTATCATTGTTGGTCACGTACCTGGAACGCTGTTCTTCGTTTTCGTTGGTTTTTGCTGACGACCGAATAGGCACTCTTTTAAAGAGCTAGCTTCTTGAAGTTGTCTAACCATATGAATCCGTGTTTATGTTTTGAGTGACTTTAAGGGCAAAGGTACGCCTGTGTTAGAAAATCCAGGTGACGATACAGCCCTGGTGATGTAACAGCGATAATTCAAAAGCGATCACAGACAACGAAGCACGATATGGAATCAAAATTACACTCCCCTTGAACGTAAAAATCACTTTGTTGAGACATGAACACTTATATTGTCGCTCTTGTAAACCTGATACCATCATATATTCTTCATACTGCATGGCATGCAGAACGTTATAAGAAATTCCGAAGTTTCAGCAAGCTCAAGAGTGAAAATGAGCCTCGAGAACTGTATCATCTTACACTGCAGTGAGACTGCTTGTACCTATTTGGAACATTCTCCGGGCGTCTTCTTGTGGCGAGTTAGCATTGCAGCATGCACAAAGGTCTTACCACAGTTCTGACATTCAAAAAGTTTCTCTCCACCGTGAACTTTCATGTGATTACTTAGGTTTACAGATGAACTAAAAGATTTTGAACAAACACCGCATTTATACGGTCTCTCTGGGTTTTCTGGGTGTACATCAGCGCCTTGTTGTTGAACCCTATCGTAGTTGTATTGTCTTTGAACTTCAGGCCCACACGAGTGACCCTGAGATTGTAGTTTATCAACAAAAACTTTGCCACAGCTTGTGCATTTCCAAGCATCCCAGGCCGCTTGTTGGGGTTTATCTTCGTGAAAATCTCGTGATATAGTGGAGGTCGGCGGAAGTACACTGGGTTTGGAAACAAGGCTTTGGCTTGAACTGGCAGAAGGTCGTACGGTCTGTGTTGCACTCGAAGGGTGCATGTATGCGCTAGATCCGTGAGGTATTGTCATCGGTATTTGGGCTTGGTATCGGCTTTCGTGCGGGTGCGGTATTCGATTTTCCACGTATGTCGATGCCACAGCAGCTGGGGTCAGTCGTGAGTCATACACATGTAAACCTGGTGCTTGACTGAGTAAGGGAGGATGGACAGGCGGGCCACTCTTAGTTGATGATGGTTGGCCCTGACTATGAATAGACAGGGGTTGTGGAGATACTTGCGGAATTCCCCTATACTGTTCAGTGTATGGTTTTGGTGGTCCGGTTGAGGGCTGTCTGATAACCGGGGTAGTGGTGGTTGTAGCTTTGGCTGGGTCTACTTCTGCCAGTTTTATTGCAACTTCAACTGGTGCTTGAATGCCTTGAGCAAAAACCAGTCAGTTATTACCATCAAGTGACAATAATTACGCGTCAGCCAGACAAAATAAGAATCAAAGTCACCAAAACAAGAGATTCAAAGACCTAAAACGATTACACTACTCTCCATCATACGCAGGGTAAAACCTCAATATTCAAAATTTGAACAGACAAAAGACATAGCAACATCACTGGGAAGACAAGATTACATTTAATTGTATTTGAAGAACAAAAAAAATTATTACTTATCAGAAAAATATCATCTTCAGCTCCATCTCATATCCTCCAGAATACGAGAAAGCTTTTTTAAATGGATATAGTACAAAACGAATATTTTAAAGGTTAAAAAGGACTGGTTTGATAATATATTTGCCAAAACCACTAAACCACTACTGTTAATTGACGTTTTCTATTAAATGAAACCAGAAAGACCACTTCGAAAATACTTTTGAAAATAAACGATAGTAAACGACAGGTAAAGCCTGACTAGATAAAAAATGTGCCTTTGCATGCTTGATCGAGAATGTGGACATGCTACTAGTTTACTTCTCGATCATATAAATAAGAATGAAGACGTTTTTTCTTAAAAATATCCTTTTTTTAATGCCAGACTCCCTTAAACGTGAACGGAAACTACAACGACCACAACACAATGACATCACTTACTTTCAACAGAGCAGCTAGACATGTCTCGGATCTCCAAAGGTAGCCCAAAAAAATGGGGATATTTTTCATCGTACCAGACCATCAGCTCTGACCCAACTGGAATATCTTTGAACGCACGGTAGTATATGCTACCGTAATACTGGAAAACATATAAATTTTGCTCGCCTTTATGTCTGGCACATTGTATAAAACGCATCCAGCTGGAGACATTCTCATCACTTGCGTCCAGAAACGAGCACAAACGACCGTTTTCGTAGATCTATAAGTTAACAAAACAAACGTAATCAGCCAGGAGTTCCTACAAACAATCCGCAAATCGATTTTGAAACTAGGACATTATGAAATGTAGAGAGCTTCTTGATGATAAGAAAGGAAATTATTTAACCTAAGTAGAAGAATCATTCAGATTGAATCCAGCGGTTTTTTTCTTCAATATCATCTGACAGAAATTCTTACAGACATAACAAAATCATGGGCATGCAACTTCTTACAAATGGCTGACCATACGAAAAAGTTCCATGGTTACCAGGTCAAGGTCAAGGTCAAGGTCAAGGTCAAGGTCAGCCACGCTAAAGAATAAAAACATTTTTCTATACACTTTTCTGTTTCCTCCTATGTAATAATATTTCAAGATAGCAAAGAAACTACAATTAAAAAATCGAATGCTTTAAGCTTTCATTTGTCAATGATTTTTAAGGGCATGAAACGTTAAAAGGTGACTATATACATATATATTACATATTTCTTTTTTATTCTAAATTGATCATATATTGTCAAAATTGAGATGCTAAATGTTAATTCAAACCTTTTCAATCACATTACCATTTCAAAACAAAAAGGACATAAGCTATGTATAAATAAAAACCAAGGAAAAAGGAGGGGGCTTAAATTATCCAAGAAATAGTGGTAACAGGATTGAAAAGGTAACAAGGTCAACAACAGAAGTACAAAACGACATAAAATATTCCTAAAAATTGTTCAAGAAGATAGAAATTCATCCATTAATCCTACCTCCCACATAAAGTTTTGCTGTTGCGGTCTGCTAAGGCCTTCCTCGACCGAAACTTTTCTTCCTTCATAAGGCCCAATCCATGTTCCAAGTGGAATGAAGTGCCTTGCAAACACTCCAAATCCAGCCAATGGTAGACTAGATACACACAGACCAACTTCATCAGGAAACGTTGAAATCGCGTATGACTTTTGACTTCCTGGTAGAGTTATCGATGGCCTAACCACGTGAAGTGGACCGTGAGCAGGACAATCACCAAACCGTATTTCCTGGCACATATCACACCCTGAGAAACGAAAAGGAGATTATCGGTTAAGTGTATGACAAAAAGGTTCAAAAGTCCAACGAAGGTCACGATGTGCTGCTGGGCATTAACTAGATATGGTTAAATGACTGATAGTTACGTTAGTAACCCTTTGGGTAAAACTCAGTCATTTCTGCAGGCAAAGGAAATAACTTAATGGTTAGGATAAAAATTTGCATAAAGGTTGTAGCCTTTGTCTTATAGGAGTACAGATCGGAATTGACACCCTTTTTAACGTGAATTCTTAGTATTGCCCTCCTACAAACTACTCGGTTCATGAAGTTCACGCAGTTCTCCCAATTATTAAGTGAAAAGAAAAGGTAACTTGTATAAGCACCTTTATGACATTAGTACAAAAAGAATCTAGGTGATAAGGAAATAAATTAGCAAGGTGCTGTGCACATTTTTGTTTCCTTTAACCACAGTCCTTTTGTTAGATGGATTATTTTATTAAGAAGGAGACTTACGAGAATCTCAGGAAACTGAAAGGAAAAAAAAGGCAAAAACGGCCCAAATATTATTTAAAAAATGAAGGGCCTTGTGAAAAACCACAGTAGACAAAAAGTGAGAAAGGTAGATTAGAAATGGTTTCTGTTACTCTGACACCTCTGATAATCGTCCCGGGGCGATAACTTAATTGAAGAAAGTTGCATCCAGGAAATTTCTACCCCCTGTTAATTCCAAATACCCGTTTAACTAAGGATTGTGCATAAGCTGCATATAAATGTCATAATTTAGCATTTTTATAACCAGCATAGAATAGGTTTAAAATGACGATAAATTTGGGAATAATTATCTGAGAGCAATTTACAAAAGCGCTAAACTAGAGAGCAAAAATCAACATAAATAATTAGTGGCAACACGAGGCAACTTTAGCAATAAAAGGGTAGTGGAAAATGTAATGCAAAAAATCGAAATTCCTGTGCCAAACGTTGCTCCGATGAGACCCAATTCCCATTTCTATTTACCACAACATCACGGCTTTTGTATTTATCAACCAGTTTCTACAGGTAAACGAGTGGCGCCTTAGGATATGAGCTTATTAGCAATGGATCTGCACCTAGAAAAGGGGGCTTCCCGAAACAAATCTCTCGGATCTTTCCACGTCATATCAGTTTTTGTTGTTTTAGCTGCCTGATCATATCATATTTCGAAAAAGGAAATAAATCAGAACGTTCAAAGATCGTTTGTGAATTGTAAGACACACAGTTCCACCTTGTTGAACAGAAAGTGACAGATGAAAATGGTATCAGATCGGGGTGCAGCATGTATGTCTGTTTAGGGAGAACAAGAAATTTGAATCTGGGTATCCTATCTAAGTACAACGAATCATGCATGATCTTTGCATGGCATTGCTATTTACAATTCTTTTCAATTTATAATCAATCAGACCTATTTATATGATTTTTTACTTCAGCAAGGAAAATATTCCTTAAATTTCTTTTCGATTAAAAACACTTTTTAAAAATGTAAACGAATATATGATTCTCAGAACCAGTAAGTAGTTGTTTAAGAAAGAATGGCTTGGAAACAATTCACAAGTTCCTGTAGTTGCGATACGGTGTAAAGAAGAAATAAGGCAGCAATTAATTCAACAAGTGTAAAAGCTTCTTGGATGAGAGTCGCGATGAAAATGAGTTTCAAGGTAACAGTAGAAGAACTTTTTTATTTTGTATAAGTGAAATAGAACAGTGTTCAAATATCTTGTCCTATTTGATTACTTATGAATAACTGTGTTTCTGTTTGCTTCTAAAGTTTCGAAAATCTCGTCTTCGTCAAACGATTCCTTTCAATGAGATGAAACTACTTTCGTTGTTTGAAAATAAGTGTGGTACAATATCTACCACAAATATGAGGCTTTTCATAAAACCAATGGATCGGTAAAAAGAGAACGAAAATGCGAAAGAAAGTAAAATACACTCAGATAAGCCATGGTGTTCTTAATATTGTTCTTATCTATCAACACTGATTCTTCTGCATGTGCCCACTAAAAGGCTGTTTTCAATGACATTTTAGTAGCACCGTTGACTGGCTGATAAAAACTGTTCTGTTTTTAAAAACACATTGCTCTTTTCTACTAAGTTTTCATCTGAGGCTGAGCATGATTTTACGTTGTGCTGAATTGTTGGCAAATTGAGCTTCGGTGTCCTTTTGAAGCATGGTTTTATTAACATATGACTGAATATGATGAAGCAAAATCAAAATGGCTGGCAATGATTTCACTCACATTTCGCTGGCTTTGATTTGTCCTCGGCATTACCATCACTGTTTTTGCTTTCTATATGCACAACCTACAAAAGAACGAAAAAAGCATATACATTGTAATGGACTCAAGAAATAGGGGTGGAGAAGTATCGTACCATTGGGCTATTGGTCCCGTACCATTGGACTATTGGTCCTGGAAAATATTTCATCTCCTAAAAAATCCCAAGAAGATTCATAAGTCAATACCAAACCCTTGATAGAAAAGAGCCATCAAAATGAAAAAGGCTAAACACTGAAAGCTGTTTAAGCTAATACAATATAGTATTAGCAATAACATTTAAGTGGATAATTCAGTCAAGATACTATTATCCATTCATTAATTGAATGGTTCTTTTTAAGAATCCACTACACTTCAATTCAAATTTGTAAAATATGAATTTGGTGTTTTTCTCAATTAAATCATTTTGCTGGGTAATTGCTTCTGGCAAAGTAGGGCAGACCAGTGAGGCTACGCATGGCAAATTTTTGGCCGAACCTTTGAGGCAGCAACTTAACGGGCATACTTCTATATCAAAGAACAGTTTCTTTGCAAGTAAAAGTAACATATTTCAAATTAAGAGACAAAGTAGCATTATATCTTTTATAAATATTTTTTAGAAAAAAAATGTGATGAAATCAAGTAGTTAGACAGGTATTTCCATTTTGAATCCTCATAAAATCGTCTATTTCCTAGAGATAGTTATCTTCCCTACAACAGTGGAGCAGAAATTTTTAAACCCCGTTTACACGAGAGAAACAGGATCGATCCAGTTTGCCGTAATTTTCGCTAGCGTTTACACGGGGTCGATCCCAAAACATTATGTGTTTACACGGAATCGATCCTAGATCGGTCCTTAGGGAGGAACAACGCACATGCGTATTGCTTATGTCATTAGCGACACAAAGAAGATGGTAGCCATTGATAGCGCCAAGTTTGTAGGAAGATTCCCACCTTTTCGAGCGTTTACACGAGACGGGATCGATCCCAAACTGGATCGATCCCAAACTGAAACGCTTTCCAAAGCGAACCCAAATTAGCACGGATAGCGGATCGATCCCGAGCGTTCCCGTGTAAACGAAAGGCCGATCCGTACCAGTTTGGGATCGATCCCGGCCTGGATCGATCCCGTGTAAACGGGGTCTTAATGCCTTATTTACGATCCTAAAAAGACAAAAAATGTTTCAACCCCCGTACAATATACAAGCACAATGAACCTCGCTTCAGAATCGAGACCTCGGACCAAGTTACAATACACGAGATACCTCTTGAAATGAAATACCAGTCTTGTGCAAACTTTTTATTATATCCTCTCTTCTCGGTTTCCGATCTTCAAATCTATTGAAAGCCTTGTTGGGTTACCTTGTATTTGAACTCTTGAAGTGATAGTGAAATTGTATCACAAGAAAATCGATGTGCCTAATCCCACTGAGATTTCTATGTCTTTCTATGCAAACTCTTAGTCACTTTTTGTCATTCGCTGATTGAGTCAGGGCTTCAATGAAGTAGAATATTAAATTTTTGCTTGATGTAATATTATCTGACCCAAAATTTCCTCTGTTCTGAATTTCTTTCTTATATTTCATAGTTCGAGTCAAATTCGCTAACACTTGATACTCTGGAATCTTTTTAAACACGAAACAATGTCTCGGGTATAATGTCCCTTTGCAGGGAAAATCTCATCGTATATCGTTTCATAAAATTTTGGAAAACATTCTCCGCCGTAGCCAATACAAATGCAATTATTTATATAGTAATTAAAGAAGATTGTAATGGAAGTGAAAAAATTAAGGACACTTTCAGGGCTTCATGAAGAAGAACAAATAGGCCTGAAAGTAGATCTTGGTAATTCCATTTCATCTTTTCTACCTGCCTTAAAATGTTATACATTCAATCATCTAATAAACTGATGTTGACTTATTAATATACATCACACTATCGTTCATACGTTTATATTCTAATGTTAGCCATTCATTGCACATAAAAATAGGCCTTCGTATCCTTCCTACTTTTTCAAAGTGTCTAATATTTTACGCAAAAACCACATTTCTGGAGATCACAGATCATACCCTGTTGGCTGACAGTGGCTGATGTTGGCTGGCATTTAATATGTCCCCAGTAATACACCCATCTCGCCCCTACCCAAGCGGTTCCATTCTTTCATCAGGAAATTTAAAGAGAACTGTTGAGATGTGCCTAATTCTAAGAAATAAAAAGTCTATATTCTAGCTACCTGCAGGTCCTGTTTGCCGTAGAGACAGCGATCGAGATCTCTGGAAGTGAAGTGAGACCTCGGTACCATGTACGGTTGGTGTCGTGACGTCATTAGGCTTTGTCTGACCATCGCATTTTTACGGTACAAATCTCTCTGTTCTGGAGCGGGCCATGCTAAATTCTGAAAAAATTAGAAATCTCATTGCGTATATGAAAGATAATTCGCCTAAAATAAGTGTGGATTTGATTCACTTAGTGGAGTTGGAAATTGAAATTGTGGAACTGTAATTGTAGAAAGTGTGGATATGTAAATAGTGCATTTTCTTAAAAGTGCAGCATAAAATACCAATCGAAACGCCTAAGATAGAATTAGGAACATCTTTTTCAATGCAAAGCGAAAGCCCAATCCCAGCCTTATGGATCGCACTCATTTTTTACAAAAAAATTGCGATACGAAATAAGCAATGTGAGACCTTGCTTATTTCGAAACTTCAAAACTCGAAGCTTCAGTACATGCGGAGAAAACTCAATTGCGCTTTATGATATTGTCGTGTTGTTTTGAAGAAAGATGGACTCGGTATACATCTTCAACTTTAAGACATCATCTCAAGTTAGTTTCCTTTACGACTTACTTAAAAAAAATACTGAGCCTAAAGACCGAGACCGAGATTATGATTTCCTGCCCGTAATGTAATTTGGGGTTTATGTAGAATCAAATAGATTTCAGAAAAAGTTGCAAAACAATTCAACTAAGGTGTTTTAAATTGGAGAAGCATTAGAAAGATTCCTCTGAAGGCTAAAGCAGTTGAACGATAATAAGCCTCTCGGTGGTATCTGGGAGGAACATTTAATTGGGAACTAATAGGGGCTATAGTCCTCCCTAACTTTTTTGCAATCATCGGTTCGAAAATGTTTTTAAAGTTTACACTAACGAACCCATTAAAAGCAGTTCTTCTTGACTGGAAACCCGTTTTTGTCTTTTTCATGGTGCTTTAACTTGTTTGATCAAAGAAAAATTTTTATTCCATCTAACTCGGTTTTGTATTTTCATAGTAATTGAAATCTTCTCTGAATCGTTATGTTTAAGAATAAGGACAGAAAGAAGCAAATGTTTTCCGGTGTTTCAGAGGGTTTGTCCGTAAAAATCTAGGGCAAGCCCCCGAGCTCCAGCCATTCCCCTATAGGCTGGTGGGTGGTGTTTGCGTTACCAACAAGATGGGGAGAAAGATTATGTTTTCAAACTACCCGAAAAGAGAATAAAAAAAGACAAGCACAATTTGTACAAAAGTGAGAGAAGAGATTATTTGCCATCCGTAACGAGATTCTCGTTTATAGTATCGAATTTTCGAAGAAAAGATTTGATGACAAAGAATTTGATAGGCTAAATGCAATTAAAATGAATCACTCAGCTTTTGCCCCGGACACAAATAAGCAAGATTTATTCAATCGTGTATTGAAATTCGAGAAATAAATTACTAAAGATCACAGAGATCTGAGACTTGTTTTCAGAGGAATTCTACCAGGCGAGACAATGGCACGCATTCTCGCAGCAGACCCTAATTCTGCCGATGTAGAGAGGCTGACTCCCATCTACAAAAAGATAGTAACAGGTTGGCAAAGCAAGCAGTATAGCTCCAGAAACACTTAAGAAATATATGAATATAGCAAGTTTCGAGTTCCGTGAACAACTACAAAGATATGGCTCCAAAAAACCAAAACCACTAGAGTCTGGGAAGCAAGACTGATTTAAGTTGGTTTTCGAAGAAGAAATGAAAGAAATAATAACTTTTACAGAGATCCAAACAAACCATGTCAAAGGGTTTCCTTTCGATAACGTTTTGCTTACAAGCTAAGACATCACTATATGTTGCTAATTTTCTTATTAACCCAATCCATATACTGTAGAGAATTAGCTTCTTATACTTCATTCATTCAAAATTTGGCCAATTAAAACATTCTATTTGCACTATAGTGGCAGTTTCTATATTTGCCACGCCCATTTTGCCAATTGCAGCAAAGAACCACGCCTAATTTTTATGAAAAAATGTGGATCTGTAAAAATTTCTTATTTTAGGCCCTGTATTCCAAAGAAATTTTCCGTTAAAGTAATTCTTTGAAAATTTACTGGTCTCTGCGTCATCAAACATTACAATATGTCTTCTAATATCTTATATCCTACGCATAACATATTAAAAAAGATATTGCAGGCACCTTTTGCAAAACAGTTTGTGCTCGCAGGCACAAAAGATTTGTAGGGAGTCCTGTACTTTGGCAGAATTTACCTTTGAAAACCCACGTTAGTGTTCTGCCAAGACATTTGGAAAAGATCCCAGACGAATGGGGAGTATCATTATAATGGAATGATATTCAAAATAGTTTTCGTTTGAAACCTTATGATCATCTACCTACAAACAGGATATCCAGATCGGTTCTTTGAAAGAACGTCTTAAATGACAATGAAAGGAGATACTGCACAAAAGGTTTGGGAAAAGACATCAAGTAATTTAGGACTCGACATCTGAGACAAGTGATCATATTTCAATGGACACCAAGCGTTATTGCTTGGTAAGTTCTAGAAGACTCTTATCGTTAGGACGAGGACCGTGCGGAAAAAGGACGAGGACCGTGCAGAAAAAGGACGAGGACCGTGCAGTTTCTTTTCTCTATCTGCCCTTTCTGGCCTCTACTGTCTATTTCCATCAACTCAAATATGCAAGCCTCCAGTCTAGTGACTGTGTAACCAGGATATCTCATTGCCTGTGAGCAAAAGTTTAGTATTCTAAAAGTCTCTGGCGTAAACAAATTATCTTTGGACTTCATTTTCGTTGATTCTCTTTCGACAATTAATTCTGCTAAATTCTCAAAAAACAGCTATTGCTTCTCAACATATTTCTTTTTTGATGAGTTCTCTGAAAATGTCTTCTAATAATCGCAAAATCATAATTGTCGTCCTCTCCGTGAAAAGTGTCATGGCTTCCCTAGGATTTATTCCTAGGTTTTGATCTGTTAATACCTTTTCTGCCACAGTCAAACACGACAGACCTTCGGCACGCCAACTCTATGTAAGACCAGAATTCGCCTGCCCAATAGTTCTCTTGTAACAAAAAGTATAGACCAAAATTCAGATTATAGTGAAAAAAAAACTAAATCTACTTTCGTTTATCGTGTAGCATTAAATTTCGAGTGATAAAGGGATAGCTTGAATATTTGTTTTCAAATATACCAGTTTGTGCTGCCTATATGAAATACTCACAAATCAATCAAAGTTTTTTAAATAGCTAACTCCAAGTTACTTATTTTTACGTAAAATACTGTCACAAAAATACAGTGGCGAAAAAACTGTGACGAAAATACTGTGGCCAAAATAGTGTGGTGAAATACTGTGGAGTTTCAAAATATATTTAAGGAATTGAAAGGCATCTAAATAAAGGTTTAGTGACAATGTCAAGGAACTTGGAATTTCAAGGAAATTTCAAAGATTTCAAGGAAATTATAGCCATTTGTAAATATTTTAAGAAAAACAGCTCTACGAAGTTTATGAAAGAAAGTAAGTTTTAAAAGAGAATCGATCTTGTTGCTTCTCATTTTTTTAGAAAAGGGAGAGTCTAAAATAACTATCATTAACAGCCCAAGACCAGGACTAAATTTAACTTTTTTCTACGGGATCGTTTGCTGCGGAGAGTACTCGGGGGGTAAATTACCCCTAATTTTGGACGGGAACGTGCAATTTTGGTTAAAATTTTGGACCCGTAATTCCGCAAATGTCTGAAAAATTGTGACCCATAATTCCGCAAACATGATGAGAACTATACCCATAATTCTGCATCTTTCTTCAAATGGTACCAATAGTTCCGCACAAATTTCGAAAACTGATACCGATAATTCCGCGTTTTTCAGAAAAAGGTACCCCTAAATAATGGCACGTCCCCGAACCTTCAAATATGTTAAGGTACCCCCCAAGGGAGAGTGTTATCAATTTTACGGACTCTTGGCAAATTGTTTTAAATGTTACGGATTTTGATCTTATTGAAGGATTACGGTGTGAAATTAGTGCCACTGCGGATCTTGTGTCGCTCTCGCTCCACACTGAAGGCGGAGGGAATAAAAGAGGTTTGTTGGCTTTCTTCGAATCCACAAAACCACCTATAGTATCGTTGACTACGCCATAGACATTCCCCCGTGTTGGGATTTCACATAACTGATAACTGCCACGGCAGTGAACAAGGAGATTTTACTGACAATAGAGCAATAACAGGGCTAGGTCGCACCTAATCTCTATTGTCCATTGTTCTGACCCACTCGCATGACAACGAAGAGTGGCGGGTTTAAAAGAGGAAAGATGTTATTAACTAGAAAGGAACTGGCATCAAGTTGCCTTCAATACAGTTTTATAAGAATTTGGGGAAAGACTTAATTTGTTCTAACTTAAGAATATGTAAATACTGGAAAATATGAGTATTGGGGGGGGAGGGAGTGGGGGGGGGGGGGGTTGTGAGAGAAAACACAAATTTGAAACTGGAAAGTGAAAAATGGCGTCAGGAATCACGTAAGCTTGTCAGCAACTATCAGAAGCACTTGGACTGAACCGATGAACCATGACTTCGTTTTCACAATCTAAACTTTCCTTCTAAGATTTCTTATTTGTTGCTTTGTCCTTTGAAAGGTCAATTTTTAATAGGTGAAAATCAAAATAATGAAATTTAATTCGCGCAATACAAAATTAGAGCAAGAAAGGAAAACCTCCAATGACTTGACACAATGCCAAGCCACCCCCCCCCCCAAATACACTTATGAGAACCAGTAAATTAAAGTTCAGGCTGACTGTTCTCAATTTTTTTTCGAAAATCTGGGGCTGGATTGCTCTTAATTTGTTCTTAAATTAATAGGGTGTAAGCAGTGTGATTGCTGGATTTTTCGCTCTAGGGGATGTTCAGGCCTAATTTGCCAACAAAGTGAGTGAGAGACAAGGGTGAGACAACCTTCATTTGCCGATAAAATTGAATTTTCATCGAAAAAGCACCAATAAATGGCTAAAAATCTTCGTCTAGGAGAAAAAAGTTGTTCAAAATTGCATTTCAGCCTCGGCTTGTTCTTAATTTGTTCTTAACTGTTGACCAATTTTGAGGCTCGTGTTCTTATTAAAATGTTCTTATAAAAAAGAGTGTATACTTCGCGGTGCGGTCCATGGTGTATTGCGAAGCGTCGACTTTAAAATAAGGGATTTGAATGCACAGAAAAAATTTTTACAAGGTAAAAATAGTAATGCAGTCGCGAATAAGAACCTACATTAGCGGGTATACGGTTTGTGTGATGTTTGGATCCCGACAGGAACGTGTGAACAAGATCTTTAACACTGACACATAAAACCGTCATAACACTTACAGCATATTAAATTCTTATTCTAGCTCTACTCCAGTTATACAAAAAAACCATATGTCTCAGGACATGAAAAAGTCATATCTTTATGACAAAAAATCTCAGGTCAGGGTTTGAACCCACCAGTAGCCAATAGCGAAGAAAGATGGCACTCAATTTGTTGCCAAACCCCACCTAGGTATCAGGTTTCAAGTATTTAGGTGCATTGATTCTACACGTGACCGGCTCTATCACGAGTTCTAATTGTCTGCAAACCATCGTTTGAAGAAGAATTTAGATACCAATGCGCAAAAACTTAAATTTCTAAAAAAACATAGCGAGAGGCTATGCTAATTTCATGCATTCAGGGGCAATAACCAAACCGTAAGTACCATTCAAAAAGCTTGTTTAGATGAACCCTGGAGAAGGTGGGACAAGGCAGGATGTATGGACACGACGCCACGTTGGTTGCTTTATCGTTATCGTGGTTCTTTTTGTAAGCTACAAAATTTATTCAAAATAATATACATATATAAAGCTGGATAAATAGTTAAAAATATGGCTGACATGATATGTGTCATGAATCATGAAATAAAACATTGCGAAAGTAGCTCGAGAACAAGCAAAACAAATCACTGTGCACTCAGTTTGGGTCTAAATGCTTCAAGGTTGTGTCAGATGGATAATGCAGGCGACCAGTAGACTTACGCATTTAAAATGATAAAAAAAGGAGAATTTCTGTCCTAATTAGCATTTCATTAAATATAAACTGATCTAGCGATGTTTTCTAAAATAAGTAAACTAACCAGATAGCGCTGTTAGGTTGTAAGTCAATGAATGCTAATGAAAAAGTTGTCAAAAAGCAATCTCTTAAAGCCAAAATGGTTAATTTCTCCTTCAAAAATACAAAAAGTAAATGCTTCAATTCATAACCTTGCAAACAAAGGATTGAGAACTTTTTTATCGATTAAGTTAATAAATTTGCCGAAGAAGAGGGCCCACGCTTGTTTTAGAAATAAATCATTACGAGAATGGCACAACCTTAGTGTACTGAAGCGAAAAAACAATAAAACAAAAATAACACGCAAATGCCTCACTTTAAAAGGATGATTTACTTCCATCGACATTTTGCAAATGTATGTGTTTCAATAAATCTACCAAATGAAAGGAACATCTTTATTTGCCCAAAGTTGATATGATTTTCCTTGCTTGCTGAGAAACTTATCTATGCCCTCATGTAGTTGAAATATCGACTTCTCTTCTAGGGTCCTACTACAAAGCTATTATTTCACTTATAATTTCATAATAAACAATTATTTCGATGAAATACGGAAAAGCCTTCAGGGTTGCATAATAGAAGGACTTGCAAATTGCACACACGGGTTGCCATATAAATATTTTTACGCAAGGCTAACTTAACCGAGCGTACGAGACAAGCCATGTGATGAGGAAAACAACACAAAGTTCGATCAACATTAGATGTTTCTTTGCCAAACGACAGACGCTTCTCTCGTAATTCCAGACAAAAATTGCCCGGAACAAGAGTCGTTTGGGCTAATACAAAAAACCTAGCACTGCCTGTAGCAAAATGAAACAGTCCTTTTTACTTAAAACTTCCATCTTTATGAATCCAAAAATCAAATTGGCATATTATTTTAAAAACTTTATCATATCTTAAACAAGGTATAAGGAAATTAATACTTCGTTGTGCGACGGTGGTTTACGATTATATATCATTGTCAAATTATAAACACCAAGATGTGCCTAATTTTGTACTTTCGGGTCGGGTTCTGTATCTCAGCTTGAGCTTTACAATTCCTTTTGATCTGGTAACAAACATTTCTTTTTGATTCAAATAATAGGGGTATACAAGGAGAGTTCGGCAATTGCCTTGTCAAGATCTTTTTGGCGGGGAATGTGTACTACCGTTCCTAACGGTGGGTGAACCAGCCATAAAGTGTGACACCTAACCATCATGAAATGAATCAATATACACGACTTCAAACTAAAATGACACGCAAATCTGAAATAATCGATTTATAAGCCCAAGGCGGCTTTACGAAATCAAACAAAATGAAAAATAATGCAGAGATCGTATACATATTGCCAAAAGCAAAAACAAACGTTCGTGGGTCACTGTCTGTTTAGCAGCATGGCAAGTTGTATTGGAGTACGGGCTGGCCAGTCTTTAGCTCAACACGATAATTACTAACAAAGCGATGCTATAGGAACGAATATCACCAACAAAGTAAAATAAAATCACTGTTACCTCAGGGCGAACATCATACTGCTTTATTTCAACAGAAATTGGCTTGGTTGATTGCATCTTCGATCGAGATAGTCATCAACAAGGAAAGTGGACATTTACGGTTCCGTTCATTATATCCAAAACCATATCTGCAGATGATAACCGCGGCTGACAGAGCAAAGGAGAACAATGCAACAATAGGTTTTGAAGAACTGAATACCAGAGTAAAACTCAGACCAATGGGTGCTGGAGCTTGCCCTGGAGTTTAGAGGGGTGTCGAATATTCTTTTACAGTGTTCAGCATTTTTTCTCCGGAAAAACTAGCTATATTTGTAAAAAGTTACTTCAGTGTTATATCTTCGTGGAAAACACCAGTAATACGATTAAACAAAGGATTTTAAGCGCCATTGCTGAAAGAAACACTGAAGTAAATTAAAATTTGACGAAAAGCGGCAAATCATTAATTGAGTTCAACAAAATTATGCTTATACTTGTCTAAAAGAATGCGGTTGCAGCCCCTTTCAGCTCCAACAAGTAGAACATAATCTGCAAATTCCAATTCAAGTTTTCAGCATCCAAGTTTTTCGTACTCAAATCATTGTGAAACATTAAACAAACATTCATTGGCAAAACTATCACGATATGTATCGACAAACGAATAAATGATTCTGGCACTTTGGGGTCCGTGTTTTGAGCTTTAAATGGAGAGGAAGCAAGGAAATCACTGGGGCGATCAAAATGAAATTTGAGCAGCATGAAATTACAAGTTGATGGCTTCAAGGAATGCCAAACATGCCCGTTGTCTCCATTCAAAACCATATGACAATAGGGAACAAAGCCGATCTAAGATTCAGGGGGAAATGTCGATGATATTGCCTACAGCTTGTCTCGTGAGGTCGTCGTCGCAAACTACGATAACAGAACTGCTCAAGATCTTGTTTTGTTAGATACAGAAAGAGTATCTAAGAGCTATGAGAAAATTTTAATTTCTGATCAGTTTTATTACTCATTCTAAACTTGGAAAAATATCTTATTGTTCTGTTCCTCTCAAGTCTAAAGCCCAAAGACTACGGAAAGGTATTTCTCATATCTCTAGAGGCTTGTCCAACGCGTGGCCCGCGGGCCACATAGTGGCCCGTGATGTTGTCTAATGTGGCCCGCGCTTGGGTCGAAGTTGATCAAGAACTACACAGTATTTTTTTCAGGTTGTAAAAGAGAAATTGATTCATGTTGTTTACGAGATTGTTATTTCATATTACTTATGCGCACACGTACACTTGGCGACTTCCAGTTCAACGCAGGGAACCAAACCCTCTTTGTTGTGCCCAAACTATGAAATACGATCTATGAATGGAAGAGGGAGAGATAGTGAACTTGGTAAACGCAATTGCATATTATCGCGGACAACCGATTTTTCCGTAGCTCAGCAAAATGACTTTGTTATGTGTTTGATTTTGTTTGAAAAAATCGCAGTGCGGAAAGAATACGACATTGCTAGGCATAATAGCTAAAAATTCATCTTATGATAAGCTGGAAGGCCAGTTTCATGTTCATAAATTAGAAGTTTCTAGTCAACAATCTCTAAGGTGAATTTTTTCAGATTTCAGATTGAATTAATCAGATTTTTTCAGTGCGGGTTGTGCCACAAAAGTCAGCATGCCGTGATTTACTTTTCTTTTTGGGAGCACATACAAATATAAATAAACAGTGTTAAAATTGATGGCAGAAACAGATTAAGACCTGGCTCGAACGGGAATGGTTGCGTAATGTTCCAATGGCGTTCGAAATGTTTCAACAAACGGGAAATGAACCGTTCAGACAGGAACGGAACGATCACGTATCAATTGTTTCTTCTCTTCACGCAGAAAGACAATTTTTGTGCTAGAATTACAAGAGTTTACCAGTGCGCATATCAGTATTTATTTCCATATGAACAATACAAGCGTTTAGCCAGATTAGTAATCTTTCTGCTTTTCGGATCATTCCACCTGTTCACACGGGAACGGAACAATTGCACACTGTTCCATTTTCCGTATCACTAAACGGAACGATTCAACGTGTTTCCACGTGCGCGCAACCCCTGAGTCACTCATTTCTTGGAATGGGACGATATGAAACGGAACGAGGACAAACAGACAATGCAGCGATAAACATATAAGCGCCCCCCCCCCAGTTACTGCGTTATTCTGAAGGTGGCCCTTCTTGAAATAAGGTTGGACAACCCTGCAGTCTAGACTTTACCTTTGGCACTCTTTTAAAAATTACGTAATGGATTTATAGATAGTGTCTATTGAGACAAATAATTGTCAAATAATTCTCTAACAACTTTTAAGCCGTTTAAGCCGTATTTCGTATTTCTAATCCCTCCACTCTTATAAGCCCCAAGCAGAATATACGCGTATTCAGCAACAGCTCTCCTCCCTTAATAATTTCTGAAAAAGTCAGCACCCAGGAAAGCTTAAAGATTTCACTGTATGTGGATGAAATTTATGTTAATAAATTGAGTTGTGCGTCATTTATTGTAGGTAGATCGTCAGAAAATGGTAATTTCCGCCTTTGGCATAAGCCCTTCATTTTAACAATCTTTTGCTTTCAATACACGAATTTTAAGAAACGATAGGTTCAACTTTTCGAACAAACCCTATCTGAACATGATCTGAATTTAAGAAGCCGAGAAGCTTTGTAATTTGCAATCATTCTCCTAGTCACTCAAAAGCTGTGACCAGTGGTGCAGTGCTATCAAAAACACAAGGGAGGCTCTTGCACAAGATGTTGCGAAAAACAACAGCAAAGCAGAAATTTTCCAATTTTCGTTATCAACAAGGGCCTAGCTGTGACACTGAAGATGAAGACCACTGCAACACTACACCAGACAACCGTATCCCTGAATACTCCATTTTTCAGTGCCGTCGGAACGAAATTCATATTGGGGGCGGGTGGCTGCCCATTGTGTTGGACCTATTCAGTACACTGTTAGAAAGGAAATTCAGTACAGTTTGACCATTCGATTATTGGGGGGACTCAAGACCCTAGTCCCATCGCTTCGGACGGCCCTGTTTCTGTAAGATGGATTTTAAAAGCACAAGTGTCAAAAACTCTTCGCTTACATTTTACAATGTAGGCCATCTAGAGGTGCCTTGTCAGTGAATTTTCAAATTAATCGATCAGTAAAGGATGGCACGCCACACTGAGCTCTCCAAATGTGTTAGACAATGCTCGGATGTCAATGAATAGAGACAGCATATTTATATCCTCCCACGAGGGGCATTTCACTTCAAAAAATCCCCTCTGAAAATCCGGGAAAAAATCATAAAATCCACAGGGAATTCTTTGAAATCCGAAAATCCCTGCAAATCTTCTTGTGATCCTGAAACTACTCAGAATTTTCAAATGTTCCATTAGCTTCCATTAGCTACGATTTTTTACAAATTCGTAGTAGAAGTTCGGAAGGTGTATTAAACAATCAACTGAATAGTGCCATAACTTCAGCAATGCTCAATAGATACAGCAGAGACGAGAAGTTGAAAGAAAGGGTGCCAACGTTGAGGTTGCTGCGCTGGAGCTTTCTGGTACTATAGTAACCTGAGCTCAGTCATAGAGATGAGATGCATGAAAGTCAAAGCAAAGACTTAGAAACAAGGGAGAGGGAACGTGCCCCCTACTTCTCAGAAAAGTGTTGAAGTACCTACTTGCAGCTTACAGAGGTGCCCACCTTGCAGAGGTTCCCCTATTTTGATTCCATGTGCCCAAAGCTATTTTGAATGTTTGTTCATCTGTTCCGTTTCTCAATAAAAAGAGGGAGCATCAATTATTGCAGGAACTAGGGGTCAAGCCAAGAAAATTGTTTGGAGGGGTGAGGAAATGATTTCTGCCGACGAAAAGGGCGTGTCTCACTCTTTAAGGGTGTGGTCAAAACATAAATACTCTTACATGCTACTTAAATGCGTTTCTGTTTCAAAGTTTATACTCTAGTGCCATACTTTGAAAGGTCAATTACACGGAAATGTTTATATGTTACTATTGTTGCAAAAGGTTACAGAGTGAGTACAAAAATTCCATCTTTTGACCGGGACAAGCGAACGAAAGGTTAGGGGGTACCGCACCCCCACCCCTTTTGGTGACACCCCTGGCAGGAACCTTGGCAGAAGCAAACGAAAATGTTTGAAACATTTATTAGGGTAGTATTAGTATCGAGGAAGTATTTAGTGAAGAAAATGGACGAGGTTCTAAAAATATCATACACAAACATTCTAGATACAATACAACACAATACAATACAATACAATACAATGCAATGCAATACAATACAATTCAATACAATGCAATGCAATGCAATGCAATGCAATGCAATGCAATACAATACAATGCAATACAATACAATCGATTCTATTATCATGACGTAGTTTTATGCTTTAAATTACATTTTTATAAAGCTATAAAATGATGACGTCATGAAAGTCTATTCTAATAACTTTTCGAATTTGGATACAAGAGCATCATGAAGTATCTCTAAACATGCAAAAGTCAATTAAATGTGTTGCGAAGTGGCCACGAGCACAGGCTACAATCCGGGGCAAAAACAGTTGAGAGATTTCAAGTAAAATTGATGCTTTCTCTTTCCTTTGAAAAATAGCTTTCCCATGCCCCGATGCAACGTTGAATGCTAATTTTGAAGCAAAAATGATAGAACAACAATATTGATTTGGAGGGAAAGGGGGACTTGAATTTTACAAAGGCAACTTTAAGTAGAAAATTGCAAAAATTGTACTTCGTCTGAAAATTTTTTTCCGGAATCAGGCTAGCCCACAATTAATTGCAGAAACCTTTGTCATTTTGTTTCTGTTCATGATATTGTAATCCGTTAGCAAAATTCAAATCTTTCATTTGCCATACTCATTTTTCATTATATGTAACCGATTTTGTTTTTTTGAAGTATTTCGTGGTGTTTCTTAGGTTGTGCAGTCAAAATTCAAATAGAAGTTTATTTTTATGACGTCACACTTAAGAACTTTTCAAAATGTTGTAGTCGTACTGATACTATGGAATACAGTGAAACCCCGCAAACAAGAACATAGGAAAATGAGAACTTACGGACTGATTTTGTGGAAAATAACACTCAAAGATAAGAACCAAAAACAAACTGATTTCTTTCCATGTTCTTATGAGATTGTACATCATATT